TAGTGTAAGGGCAGCTATACCAGAAAACACGCAAGGCAAAGATCAGAGATCTGAGGTCACCACACCTCGGCTGCGGGACTCAGAGCTTACTGCACCTCGGCCTCTCGCGAAAGTGTATGGCAGCCACAATAGGCATGCCCTCATTTGATCATTTGTCCCTACCATAACACCCTTTCTCAAGGGACCTGCTCCGTCAGAATACATCATGCGCATTTAATGCGATCACTCCGTTAAGGCACGTTACGTTTACCTAAAACGTCTACTCCGTCAGGCGCACTATGTCACCATTATTGGATTGACTGAGTCACGTGGGTGCGGACAAGCCACGTGGGTACCTTGCCAATATGGACAAAGCCCACAAGGTAAGGTTCGATAAATAGGTGGAACCAAAAGAAAAACATGATTGGAAAAATACTGACTTAAGCATCAGAGTTTCTCCTCGAGGACCAACCTCGGGATTTTGCAGGACCACTTGGAGAAGGATCAACTTGAAGCAGGAACTCAAGGATATTCAGCAACTACAGATACCTAGGGTTTTATTTTCTTCTTTTATAGTGCTAGAAAATTATATTAAAACGTAACTAAACTTTTAATAAAGCTAGGAAGGATTTTAATTGATAAATTTGACTTATTATTTTATTTTGATTCTTTCATAAATTTTATTGTTTAATTTTATATTTGAGAGATCATTAATTATTTTTAGATTTGAAAACTCTAAAAATTATATTTATCAAATTTCATATAAGATTAGTCATGCTCTATTTATGTGTAATTTGTTAAAATATAATTGATTGGTAGATTTATTTTATGAGTTGATTAATTGCTGTAATATTATCAATTAGATATATTATCACTCTCAAATAACTCGTAAGGATAAATTAGTTTGTTCTACGTTGAAATTAATTTCTCTCCAAATAAATACATTAGTTATTATTATTGTTCTTCATAGTTATATCTCCCAATTGTGTGTTTGGGATGTGAAACATGCAATTGAGTGATAAATATAAATAAAAATTTATAATAGTTGAACAAATCAATTAAATGAACCCAGAAGTGTTGTTCATCATAAAACTGTTTTTGATCCTTTATAATTATCATCTATTATTTAAATATTTTTATTTTTAATTTTATAAATCATCTTTTAATTTAATTTCTCATTGTGACAATTTTTTTTGTTGGTTTAATATAGTTTTCCTGTGGATTTGACACCTAAAGCTATGCTACAACAACCGCTTAGCTGAAGTGTATTAATTTTGGGGCAAGACATCAAAGTTTGGCACTGTTGCTAAGAAAGCCAAATTGACAATTAGAGTTTGAACATTCTTTACATTTCTTTTATTTTTTTTATTTGCTTCTTTAGTTCATTTTACTTTCTTGCTTTTATTTTGTTTTCTTCATTCAAAAAAAGTGGGGGGTAGATTAGAGTGTATGAATAGACCAAGAGACAAAAAATGGAGATTCATTAAACTAGACCCACCACCCTTTGAAAAGGAAGAAGTCGAGTCTAATTCATTCTTTAATTCTGAAACCATGTGTCAAGACAGGGATCAACCTATTAGGGCTTTGAAAGACTACTTGCACCCCACTAGAATAGCTACACCACCATGCACAATGTTTCCTCCTAATACACCACACTTTGAGTTCAAACTTGGAATGATTTAGCTTTTGCCTAGTTTTCATGGTTTAGAGAATGAAAATCCACATGTGCATATTAGGGAGTTTGAGGAGGTAGTAGCTACTTTTCATAGTTGAGCTGATACTATAGACACAGTTAAGTTGAAATTCTTTCCTTTCTCCTTGAAAGATAAAGTTAAAATTTGGTTATATTTTTTTAGACCAAGATCTACAGGTACATGGGCAAAGATGACCCAAGCTTTCTTTAACAAGTACTTTCCACATCACAAGACTAATAATTTTAAAAGAAAGATCTCCACAATTTCTCAAAAGAATAGTGAAACCTTATACCAAGCAGGGGAGAGGTTTAAGGAATTGCAAAACTTGTGTCCACATCATGGGTATGAAACTTGGAGGTTGGTTAGTTATTTCTAAGAGGGTTTAAATAATAGGTAGCATCAATTCATAGAGATTGTGTGTAATGGGGAGTTTTTGCATAAGGACCTAGAAGAAGCCATATATTATTTAAATCAGTTAGCTGAAAAAGCTCACAGTTGGACAAGACCTAATGCCACTGATAGTACTAGTAGGTCATGATCATCTGGGATTTACCACCTTGAGGAGGAAGACAACCTTAAAGTCCAATTGGAAGCTGTAACTAAGGAACTTGAGAGCTTAAAAATGAACAATAATAAAGTCATCCACACAGTTGCTAGGGTAAAAACTCAAGTTCCATGTTTTGTGTGGGGGGGATTAGATCATTTAGCCAAGATTGCCCAACCTATGGTGCGATGAGAAGGATTTATGAAGAACAATGCAATGCGTTAGGAAGGGTTAGGAAACCTTTTTCACCCTATTCAGAGACATACAATCCTAGTTGGAGAAACCATCCCAATTTTAGTTGGAAGAATGATTTGACCCATCCTACATCATCCAACAATACTTGGAATAGTGAAGTTCAACCACTTAGGTCTTACCCTACACCTCAATACAATGCACGACCAGATAGAAATCCTTTAAAGGAAATACTTAAGGCATTTATGGAGGCACAAACTAAGACTAACAAAAATTTGATTCCATTCTTACACAAGTGGTTGAAGAAAACAAGGATATCAAGGGTCAACTAATTAAGTTGACCAATGCTCTTACTGTCCAAAAGCAAGGTAGGATTCTGTTGACTCAATGTACTCCAAGAGGGGGGTGAATTGGAGTTCCAAAAATTCTCCCCTTTTTGCAACCACAAAACCAAAAATAAAGAGAGTAGAGAAGAAGAGCTTGCTTAATGATTTTATAGAGGTTCGGTCCAACCACTTGGAACCTAATTCTCTACCTTCGCTTCACTCACCAAGGATTTCCTCTACACTCTCCACTAACAATAACAAGGGTGGCTTAAAGGAGGCACTCAATCCTTTTACAAGAAGAAGGGTGTTTCACTCAAATCTCACCCCTTTACACTTAAACCCAAGAATCCTCTCTACAAATCACTCTTGAAGGATTAATCACACCCCCAAGATCACTCACAAATAGAACAAGAAGAGGATTACAAGTAAAGATCTCTCAAAGATCAAAACCTCAAGTTAAAGCTCATGTAGGTAGGTAAAGATATTCAATGCAATGCTCTCTGAACCTCCTTCAAATCTTCTACCAACCATATTTATAACCCCATGGTCGAAAATAGCCATTACTAGTCGTTAGGGGTCATTTAATGCTCTGCAGGACGCAAAGCTCGAGTTGCAAGATTGTCAGGAGAGCCAGCTTAGCTTCCTAGAGCCGGCTTTGTATAGCCGACTCACCATTTCTACAGCCGGCTTTGTGGGATTCCTGCACATTCTGTTTTCTTCTACAACCGGCTGTAAAGCCTAAAGCCGGCTTTGGGATTCCAACTTTAAACACATTAAATAATCTTCAAATAACTCGACCGTTGTGCATTAAATGCACCTTTACAACCGGCTGCAAAGTTAGAGTCGGCTCTGTGTCTTTTCTCCACGCGCGCTAAACAACGGACCTTTAAATCTTTACTTGTAGAGCCGGCTGTAGCTTCCAGAGTCAGCTCTCTGCACTTCCATTTCACCAGAGCCGGCTGCAGCTTTTAAGAACCGGCTCTCTGCACATTTTCAATCCTTTTGGTCTATTTTTAGTGCAGTCCAAGTTTACTTGCAATCTTTTAGCAACTTAATTACACACTTAAATAAACCAATTAATCACTCAAATGTGTTTTGTAATAATCAAAATCATAGCTACAACAGATTCCATCCCAACCTCAAGCTAATCCTAAAAATTTACATTTGGTGCAGGAATCTACTTTTAATTTGGAGAACATAAAAGGGGTTAACTCTATCATTACTCGTATTGGTAAGGTTATAGAGCCATTGCCAAAAGCACCTCAATTAAAGGATGCTACTCCAAGTAGACATGAAGATGACCAGTTGAAAGAACCTGAGAAGGAGGTTCCAATTCGAGTTCTTTTCCCTCAAGCTCTTAGAACTGGAAAGATTTCAAACAACCAAGGTGAGATTTTAGAGCATTTGAAACAAGTTAAGATTAATC